TTTTATTTGTGCTTTGGGACTAGCACGGTTACATTGAAGTACTCATATTGACACGCTAAGTTATCAATTAGTAACKTTTGCAGCAGGGGCGTCTACTGGCGCATTGCCAGAAATTTCGGACAAAATGGCGTCGGGCATGCGCATTTTGCATAACAATGGCGGCCATACAGCCATATAAAATGTATGGGAGACGGTAAACTTTCCTAAATAAGAAATCTTATTCTTTATATTTCTCTCTTCTCTACCTCGAATAATAATCGCGAATGCAGTGGTTACATGTTAGACCTAAAAAGAGCTTCTAGAATATTATCCTCGTGGTTCCTCGGCCTCTGACTTTTTCTGCACTCAAAGGCCATACATTCTCTCTTAATTTGCTATAAATTTGCATACCTTCGTCACTTCAAGATGAAAATTGTATACGAAATCGCCGACTTGGACAAATTCTCCGCATCGGTTCACGTAGACGAGTGTTTAGCTGATTCAAAACAGCTTTTAGACTGCGATATAAAACTACTTTGAAGGTTCCCACGAAGGATGAACTTTGGTTATTTTCTAGGCTAGAAGTCGCCATGATATCTCTTAAAAAWTTCAAAAAAACGCTTAAAAAAGAATCAAAACACACCAAAATAATCGCTGTGCTGCCATTTTGCTTTTCGAAGCTTTTATTGCATGCTGGGAAGCAATCAGGKAGCCCAAGGCCTTCCTTTTTTGATTTTCACGTTTGCAGTGGATTTAGAGCTCTTGGGCTTCCTGTGGCGAAACATAACAATAGAAATTGGAGCTTTTTTTGGAAAATCGCTCTATATTATCATATTTCTGTTTTATAAGCCTTTATTTAGCACTAGTATGTCTTTTCAAGCCGTATTTGTACTTTTTTTCTTAAAAATAACAACATTCTATGATTTTTGATAAATGTCCCAAATTTCTGGCAATGGTCTAGCCTGCTGTTTCGTGAATGGAAACGAAATAAGTGCACACAATTAAGAATCATGAATCAAATTACTGATATTTGAAGGAACCTTTTGAGTTATAGTCACGGAGCTGTCAATGGGGAAGAATTTGAAATAGTTATGAAAAAATTGATAAGGAAAAATTGAAGGAAGGGGGATAAGGAATCTTGAAAAATCGACGAAAACGATTAAAGATTATGAATCAACAGGAAAGAAGTGATTCTTCTTCATCCTTATTGCGGCACCTTTATGTGGAAATTACTTTAGTGTTGCCAGGTTTCCGTCCTGGAATGAAATGGAAATAAATCCAATGTCCTAAAAACAGTCCTAATGACAAGTGGCCCTAATTATTCACTCTTCCTCCATGCGATCATAGAATAAAAAGTGTTGATTTGCCTGCAAGAAGGTCGGGATTGCTTTCATCCTCGTTTTCCTATATACCTAAAGTTGGGTAGGAGAAGGTACATGAAGCTAAAATTCCGTAACTTGCAGCTCGTATAAGTTGCGTTCATGGCGTAAAAGCACCAAAGGAAATTCAACAGACTTTAGTGCGTTGACGAAACAGCGGGTTAAGTTCTTTGGACAACTTATCGTATTYGTTACCTCTAACCTGACTGTTTTAGCACTCGATATACGCCGTTTGCATACCTTCAACTGTGTTTATCATCGATGTCATCCATAGAACTGCAAATATGATATGAATTTCCATAGAAGCACTGGTTTGGTGCTAATATAT